TTACTATTTGAACTAGCAATTTTATCATTGGATTTTACATTTTCCGGAAGTGTTACATCATACACATTGATCACTTCCGAAGTAACTTGGTCATTAATGTCGTCGTGAATAAAATCCATGTCAATATCCAATTGATTTATCAATCATTTCCATATGCTCGTCTATGTGAATATGGTCATTTTTATCCTGAGTAATATTAACAATATTTACATTACTATTTGAACTAGCAATTTTATCATTGGATTTTACATTTTCCGGAAGTGTTACATCATACACATTGATCACTTCCGAAGTAACTTGGTCATTAATGTCGTCGTGAATAAAATCCATGTCAATATAAGATTTGTTACCAATTTGTGGATTAAGTGACATTAATATTAACGCCACGATTAAGTCTATTTTAAAATAAATATGACATTGACCATTAATTAATTTATCAACAGTGCACAATAACTATCGGCAAGCTATTAAATTTACCTAAAATGATTACAATACAAATGAAACAAGATAAAATAATCGCCACCATCTTAACATTGTTAGTAGTTACAAAAATACGCAATTTGTTAAAATTATTAATTGTATTAGCTGGATCGTATTTCATTCCAGTCTCAGCTAGGTCTGCATCCAATGGTAGACATTGTTCGTCATTTAATTTATTCATCCTGTTTATGGGTATTAATATCCAGGTAATAGCTTAATATAGGCACATATATTTTACAAATAAATTATGATTTTAAATATAAGAAAATAACAATATTATTGTTATACTAGTAATGTATAAATAATTTTTGTTTGTCTCATTAAACATTAAGATAAGTGATTATTTGTTTAATGATTATGTGGGAAATTTAACACATTTTATTTATATTATATCTTATTTAAGAAATTGAGATTATAAATTGTAAATATAACATTTGTGCATTTTGAAATATAGTCATTTGATAAACTAATAATTTGATACTAATAATAACTGCTAATATTATTAAATAAGTACCAGTATAATTTTCATTAAATTTATAATTGCTGTTAATCGTATTTTTATTTAAAATATAAATACTTATCATTTTAATTTCAAATATTATTTGGGATACTAAAGGTTACGCCTAAATACGGTATTATCAGAATTAATAGCATTATTAGCAAAACATTGCGAATATTGAGCAAAAACTCACATAATTTGTTGTTTCCTTGGTTATTTATCATAAAAATTATTTTCTAATATATAACTATACAGTATTAAAAAAGCTAATTTAAGCTAATTTAATAAACCAAACATTTATTACTCAATTAGATTTAGATTCCAAAAAGATATTTTATTGCTGAAACTTTTTTCAACATTACAAACGTATGGATATGTCTTATTTGAGACAGCAACTTCATTAGCTTTAAGACACCTGGACACATTCATCGGCGACTTTGCACCTATTGCCGGCATCCTTGCGCATATAGACGTATCCCTTGTCTCCATACCCCTCTCCCCACGAGTTCTTCACGATCCAAAAGTTCTGATTCCAGGCCTTATCATAGCCATAGCCCACCACAAGTACCGCGTGATTGGTGTCCCCATCGCAGGGGCCGTCGTATATACCCTGTCTATAACTGGCCCACGAGTCGGACGCGTGTATGGCTATAGCGGACGGGCCGTGATCTTGAACCGCCAAATGGAGGGCCCCCTCATTGCCACCGCCCGCCACCCAATTCCACCCGTTTATTCGGGCCACAGTCCGGCCCTCCCGGTCCCTATCGCACCCATTTTTCTATAGTTTAAAGCAAATAATAATTTTATTTGTTAAGGAGGTATATATCAAGTGGCAAACCTTGGCCTGGTAGGGATACTCGTCCCAAGATGTGAGTCCCTTATCCCTAATATAGTCGTAAATGGGCTGAAAGGCGGCGCCTCTGTCGCACACGTTGTAGTCGGGGTCGGGATAGCAGTCGATCATCTGTTGCGGACTCAGGGGTTGGACTCCGTGTCCCAATCGGGCCCAATAGGTCTCCACCAGTCCTGCCGCTGCGAACAGAGTACACGAACCGCACCCACCCTATAGTCGATGCCATACATAGAAGTCATTGTTATAGATTATGAAGGCTTTCGTTGTCGACGACATACACACTATTTTTGCAAATATACCCTCAAAACAGACTATTTTTGACTGCAATTGATTCTATGCTANACCGAAAGCCGAACTGATCGATGATCTCCTCCTCAGTCATGTCCGCGAATCGGTTGATGTGTTGAGTGTATGAGGACTTGCCGTTCATGGCCTCCACGTTGTGCTCAAACACTCGCCACATATTCCTCGCGAATATCTGCTCCCTTTCCCCGTCAACCGACTCATCCGCATAAGTCTTGTGGAACTTTGCCTTAAACTCGTTGAACATGTCATTCACTCTCTGTTTGTCTTCCAATGATTTCTAGAAAACAAATTCATTCACAAATCAATTGAAACTCAAAACGAGTCTTACTTTGAATAAAGCGCTCAAATGAGTGCTGTTTTCGGCAGACATTGTCCGCAACACTGCGTTCGGCCGCATATTCTCGCCCTGAAGTAAGGGACCGAACGGTGCGAATAAGGGCTCACCACCGCTCAAATCATAATACGTTTTGTGTGTGGCCAGGGTGGTGGGCTTGGAGTCTAGCAAACTCGGTATCTCCCGGTGCCGGAGCACCACTCGCTGAAAACAATTACAGGTTATCGTACAGTAAATTGACAAATTCTAAAATCATACCTAGTACAAATAAGCATACAATGAAACAAATGATGTATTTCATTGTGATTTAGTTTGGTAAAATAATAAAATTAAATAATATAATGCTGGTAAATTATAATAAAATATATTAAGTTAATTCAACAAGTTAATAATATTTTTTTGTGTAACTCATTTCTGTATTTATATGTTTTTTATTGTTTGTTATCAGATAATCAGTGAACCCTTTACAGTGAAATGTCTCGAATGTGATAATTGTTCAAAATTTTCATTAATTGCATAATCAGGTAAATAATCAAAGCACTTATTTGCGTTTTCATTGATAATAATTTCCAAGAATTATGTTTAATAATGTACAAATCTATTTATTAACAATTAGACAGAAAATCTATTGATTAAATAAACAAAGTAAATAGTTGATATTTCACTAATAATTAATTAACTTATTAAAAAATGATAAACTTTTTGAAAATAATAAAAAATTCTCTTGGAAAGTATTTTTCCAAAAACTGTATTAATTTCATATGAAAAGTATATGAAATTGATAATAATTATCAGTATTTACATTAATAGGATTGAACTTGATTTCCTATTAACTATTTATTTGTTTTTGAATTGTTATATCATATGAGAACTTGATTAAAAGGATTGTATTTTAATAAGTTATAGTATCAGTGAAATATTAAATATTAACTTTGCTTATTTAATTAATAGATTGTCAGTACAATTGTTGATAAATAGCTTAGTACACTGGTACATTTCATTTTCAGAATAAGAGCACATTTTAATAAATTATTTTTATCAAGTACATTATTAAAATAATAATCCTTAGAAATTGGTGTTAATGAAATCATTAAAATTAGTAATTATCTACTAATTTAATACATGTAAACTAATTAAAGTTATATAGTTTGTTATAGAGTTGAATCAAACACGCAAATATGTCCCTTGATTATTTATCTAATTATGCAATTAGTAAACATCTAGGACAATTCACACACCGTTCGACCGTTCGTTGCCGGGAGGATACTCGATGTGACCCCAGCTGCCGGTGCTCGGCTCGGTATCATCGATAGTGGGCTCTGTCAGGGCACCATTATTTTCAAATGACTTCAATGTTAATTGATCTTGCTACATGCAGAACACATTTTTTTGTATTTTTCAATACAAGTAATGGTTATCTCTATAATCAAATTAACAATTACTAATAATGTTTAGAATTAATTATAATTATAAATTTTGAAAAATTTTAATAAAACTAATTTTTATATATTGAAACGAAAACTATATGAGACTCATGACGTTATAATTACAATTAGGATACTTAAGTTAAAATTTATATTTAAAATAAAATAATACGCCATGATTGTATTGAGTTAGTGATTAGTGTGACCAGACGTCCAGATTTGGGCTGGATTGTCCCGTTTTTGCACATAGTGTCCAGTTTTGTAATTGATCTATTACCATGTAAAGGATAGTATTGTCCAGTTTTAAAACGTGGATTAATTCTAATATTGTCTCTTTTCATACAATTGTCCAGTTTTAAACAAAATATTGAAAAAATATCTGGTCAGCCTATTAGTGATTAGTTTATTGATCAGATAGGTTAAGTTTGGGAAAGGAATCAGGTTATGGTTGTAATCACAAGAAAATGTATTACCTAATTGTACTAGTCAATATATTAATATTTTTCTGAATATTGTTTGGAATTTTTTTATTTGACTGTATTGTTGAACGTGCAATCTCTACAAATAGTAGAAATTTGAAATATAAATACATTGGAAATAATTTGAAATACAGTAAAACTGGATTTATTGGCTTAATTTGGAAGTTCGATTTTGAGAGATAGGTAAAACAGGTTCAGATTATAATTTCTGATCATTCATAAATAAAACTCTCAGTAATGCTTAACTAGTTTTTATTGAAATTTTTCAAAATTTATAATTATAATTCAAAACATTTTGTAATAATATTGCAATTGTTAACTTTTTATTATAGGAATAACCATTACTTGTATTGAAAAATAGAAAATTTTAAATTCATTTAAGCAGGATCAATTAATTTCAGGCTCATTTAAATATGACCCTGACAGAGTCCACTATCGATGATACCGAGCTCACGACCTCCAGCGGGGGTCACATCGAGTATCCTCCCGGCGACGAACGGTCCCCTGTCGTTGATCCTAACGCTGATAGACCTGCCATTACACGACGCCTGGACTACAGTCCCAAACGCTAGGGTCTTATGGGCGG